AGCTGACGTCACGCAGCAGCTGTCATCTGTCTCAGTGAAGCTGAAGACTGCTGAAACTAAGCTTAAAGAGCTGGGTTTTTTTTATCTGCTAATAAGCATTTAAAAGACATTTCTGAAGTTTTCCGTTTACTTTTTCCGTGTGTAAAAGTAGATAATAAAGCAGAAAGCCGAGTTCGGATAATTTGGACCGAACCAGAAGTTATATACGCATACGCGTGGAGCTGCGCGAACTCACACATCTAAAGACAGTTTTACAAAGAGAAAACTGTCTGTTCGCTGTTAAAACATTGCTTACTGGTTGTGCTGGCTGGTCTAAACGCTAAGAATTTTGTTCTAAAAAGCTGTTTTAAGTCCACGAAAAAGTACGGAACCAGAAGTGATGCAAAATTCGGGTACACAAAAGCCCTCTTCATACAGCGTTCGCAATAATAAGAAAACTTCGGAAACTAATTAGCGTGCATAGACACGTTTCGACGAATTAATTCGTCTCACAAAAACACACTCTTTCAGTCGATGTCCTTTGTCTAAATTACGCCGTTAAACGGGCTAATTTAATAAGCTTCTGAGCGAAGCTAACAGGCTAAAAGCTACCGGAACCGGAAGCGCCGCCATCTTAAGCAGGGCATCGTATCCTCAACGCGACCTAACCAAAATGGCGCCCTAGTGGCCAAATAGTGGTCATAGTCTCCATCTAGTGGTTAAAATAAAGCGTTTCCTCAGTTCAGCAACTGGGAATAAGAAATAACACACAAATCTCGCTTTTTAACAAAAATAAAAGCAAGAAACAAACATTTAATCCTTCTAAATATAAAATGGTTTATTTATAAAACAACAATTTCCATATTAATCAGGTTTTTGACCCCTTTTCAGGAATTCATCTTTGGAAAACACAGTTTGCTGTAAAGGAGTTTTTACTAAAGCTAAATTTAATATCAGTCGTGGTAAGAACACACTGTGTCAGATTTCTGCTTAAAGTTATACAACTTTTATCAAATGAAAAGTGATGAACCAATTGTTGACCCTGTTAAAAGATTTTAAACCTAAATATAGGAAAAACATCTAAAAGTTAATAACAACAATTAACTAGTCAATGCCACATTTTGTGAAAACAAAAAATAAGGCCAAAACACCTTAAACAGGTGAAACAAGTTAAAGCAGTAACAAAATACTGACTTTTAAACAAAAAACAGACTCTACAGAGAGCTGTACACACAAACTTAAACCATTTTCTAAATATTTTACAAAAGTAAAATAAAAATAACATCCAAAAATACAGAAGGAAATAACACACATTAAAGCAGCAAGCTTTATTGCAATCTCATTAACATTACTGCATTTTGAATACATTTCTTTTATTTAGCTGTTTAATTGTCAAAAGATAATTTAGCTGGTTTTAAAAGTATTTCTCTTGTAATAAGTTTTAATTAAACAGGTAAAAGCAACGAGGCTTCCTAATAATTAAAAATCTTTTTACAGGCAATATTTAACAAAC